TAGATTTCATATATAATTATTTATTATATTTTTCAATTCCCCTTAATAATTGAGTTTTTGTTTAGTATAATTGTGGTTTTTAGTTTTTAATTTTGGCTTTTATAACATTTGTAATTATCAAAAATCAAAACTAAAAATAAAAAGTAATAATTATGATAATATATTACAAAAATACATAAAAATAAATGGTTTTTTTTTTTGTTTAGAATAAAAAACTTTATGAAAATCAAAATCATACTAAACAGAATTTTGAGTTATCAATTAAAAATTTTAAAAAAGATAAATATAGTATTTTAACTTGTAGTAATAATTGTGTTTTTATGTATAGTTTTGTAGACCTTTTTTGTAATTATGTCAAGAAAAAGTGTACTAATGCTTACGAAAAAAAAAGTGTATTAACAATTAAAGTCCAAAATGATAGACTTGTTGTAAATTATAAGAGAAAAAGATAAAAACTATAGAAATTAAAAAAAGTAACACCAACAAGAAGGAAAATAACTTGTAACTTCTTCTCTCTCCCTTCTCTCTCTCTCATTTTTTTTTATTTATCTAGGATTAAATCTAGGTTAAATACTAATTTTGGTCCCTCAACTTTATAGAGTTGCATTTTTTTGGTCCCTAAACTATTTTTTGCATTTTTTGATCCCACAACTCTAAGAGTTACACAATTTTGATTATTCCGTCAATTTGAAGCGTTAACTCTGTCCACGTGACATTTTTAATATTTTTTTTATGACGTGGAGAAAATAACTTAAACATGTGCTAATATGGACAAAATATGATGCCATATCATATCTTCACGAATTAAAAAGGTCAAAACCTCTCAAATGGGTCTCACATTACCTGCAAAGAACCAATAAAGGGATAAAATGTCTGTGAACCCTAACGCTCTCTTATCTCGAGTCCATCTGCAAAATCGATCTTAACTCATATCTTCTTCCCTGAATGTTCTCTCATCACCACTCCATCAAATTAACTCCTCAATAAACAATGTCAATCAAACCCTAATCAAATTCTAATATAAATGCAAATTTATCAAGAACTGGGAATGGGAATCGAAAGAAGAATGAGAAAACATGGTGAACTTGACAATCGCAACTCTAAAGAAAAATGAAAATCAACATAACCTAATTCTAAACCCAACATTTGGGCTTCTTTGAACCCAGCAAAGTTGAGTTTTGTCAAACCCAGTCGATCTGGATTCCATCGAACCTAGTAGCTAGGTTCAATGGAACCCAATAGAGTTGAGTTTTGTCGAACCAGCAAAGCTGGGTTCGGTGGAATCCAATCGATTTGGGTTCCACCGAACCCAACAGTCGGGTTTGATGGAACCCAGCAGATCTAATTAATGTTAACTGTTCTAGTTAATATTAAGCTGTTAACCAACACTAGTAGTTGTAAACAAACATTCTAAGTAATTTTTCAGAGTTTCAACTAGATTACAATTGTTGTTTTAGTAAACACTAACCAGAAGCCGAATTAAAGCTGAAAAAAATAGTTTGATGGAAATTCTCCCCCAAATAAATTGCCTTGTTCAACGAAAAATAAAAATAAATATTGAGAAACTGTAGAGAAAAGGAAAACAAGGTGAATAACGGGAGAGAAAGCAGTGAGACCCGAAGGATTGCAAGAGGACGAGGAGGCCGGAGAGGCCCATGGAATCA